TAGGAGGGGGGGGGGGGGGGGGTGTTAAAATGCTGAGTGTTTATAGTCAAAAGTATTCACCAGTCTTGGATGCCCAAGAAGTTATGACTCGCATCTGATTCTTTTCAGAGAATTTAGTCTTTTATAGCACACTATATTCAAAGCACAGCTTCTCTTGATTTCAGTTCTTTAGCATATCAGACCCCAGAGTCTCAAATTAGGAACTCAGAATAGGAGGAACACACAATTAGTGACCAGCTGTCAAAACTTTTATTTAAAAGATTTGCTGAGCATCACAGAGGAAAGATATGGCATAGGTAGACAGAGAACTCCATTCTGCAGGGCAGTATTCCACTGCCTTTTACCATGAAACCATCCTTTCTCTTCCTGCATTCCCCTCTTTGATCATTATATAACACATTTTAGATGTGTTTGGCCTAGATTAGAGATAATAAAAATAGTAGCTAATGTAGCATACTGAATTTAAAAATAACAAAATAACAACAGCTAATGTGAAACTATTAAGATATGTACCCATACACCTTGAGCAGTCTGTGTGCACGCGTCAGCTCTTTCCTTCCCTTGCTTGTTAAAGTACTACATCCTCCAGGGCAGAGGCTCTCATACATGTTTAGCAAGTACCTTGCACACACTGGGTATTGTGATCTAAACAATTATAACAACACTCCCATGAGATGTGAACATCTTACCACCAGTTTACAGATGGGAAAACTTAAAATACAAAGCTTGATTTCCAAAGATGGGTTAAAATGACTTCATGTGCTTTATTTGTACGAGCAAATACCGCATTTATGAGAACCAAACCAGTCTTGCCTTATTTCTCTACCTACTTAGGCATACAGCTGAACATTCGAGCGTACACGGTAAGTATTTGTGGCCAGAATGTGTATAATTTAGCATGCACCCATCTTTGAGAACTGGGATGTTGTGATTAATTAAAGATTACACAGAAAGGCAGTGGTAGAAATGGGAACAGAACCCAGAAACTAGCTGTTGATTTTATCTTAACACTAAGTAATGATACTTATAGCAGAGGCAAAACATGCTTCCTTAAAAATGCTTGCAAATCTTCCATATAAGAAGAAAATACCTTAAATTTTGCTAGGAGTCTAAGTTCTAATAAGCACCAATCTTTCTCACTTAATTATGCTCCATGGGGAAATACATTGCAGGTGTTTTTCATTACGTTTTTCAGCAGAAGCTTGGCAGTTTCTCTCTACATTCCATTTTCTCAAGACAAATCTGTTCTTTCCAACTGGGGAATGCTTTTTCTTTCAGAATTGTCTCTCTCCCTCCCAGATCATTGGAGTGAACACGTCTGTTTTTCTGTTCCTCTACACATCTTTCTAGGAGAAGACAAATGCAGGCTGAAGAAATAGATGAGGTTTCAGGTGCTGACAGTATCTGGATTTCTAACACAAGGACAAAAGAATACAAGAAAAGCATTTTGATTGTTAGCAATTGAAGAAGCCATGCCAGGTGCTAGGCAATATAAAACTCTCTTATTTTAATGCTTAGCCTGCTTCCTGAAAAATCAAATTAAACCCTTTCAAGGACATGTGCCTTAGTAAAGCAAGTAACATATAGGTGCCAGGTTACTAAACCATAGCACGCCTGTATGAAAGAGTGCTGAGAGAATCAGACTCCTTCAAGTTGCCACCATGGTGGTGGCTTATTTTTCTATAGAAATGACTTGAACAAGGCAGGGAAGCTGGTAACTCAACCTTTGCATGTGATGATCATCCTTTAACTCAAAATCTCCAAATGATTCAGAATTTTGCAAACAGTCTCTTTCTTCAGAGTTGGACTTAAACAATAATTTTAGATCCACACACACCTGAGCCCTGAATGCTTGGAATCTGCATTTGAGCAACTGGAGACTTTTTTTTTAAGTATCTGGGTGCCTTAAGATGCAAACAGATGCCTCCTGCTGACTTAAGTGGAAACTGCTTGCCTGGCTGCCCCTTAGGCACCTAGGGTGTGTACAGAAGTTGCTTTTTTCACCATTTAAAGTGCTGTATCTTAACAGACATGCATGGCTTTACAGCACTTTAAAAAAGGGCACAGTGCTTTAAATTAAACCTTGTTAAATGAAGTATTAAATTTTGAAGTGCTGTTTTTTACAGCATTTTAGCAACCTACAGCACTTTAAATAACTTCTGTACACTAGCCACATTTCTGGCGATTCTGCCAGTATCCCATGGTCTTTGTAAGCATGGTTAGTGCTCCCCAGGACCACACACGCCCACCCCCTGAGAGCCAGTGTGGCTGGGAACCAGATGCTTGGAGCTGGGTTGCTGGCCCCATGGCAGACACAGTGCCCATTCCCAGCGAAGACAGGGGGTGGGGGGAATGAAAGGGACACACTGCACACATGCACATACCCTCTGAGACCCTGCATGAACACACTGTGGGTGGGACATATACACATGCACACACCCCCAGACACAGACACACACCTCTACAGTGCCAAAGACCTTGTGTGGAGTAGGGCTGGGCAAGAGCTACTGCCTGGCCTCATAGCTAACGCAGTGCCCACTCTCAGTGATGGGAGGGATGGACACACCCTGGGTCACACACACATGCACATCCCCTGAGACCCTGCATAGCTGCAGGCCAGATGCTTGGAGCAAGGCCGTCAGCCTGGGTGAGAGCTGCTGCCCAGGCTGTGGTAGAAGCAGTGCCCACTCCCAGCACTGGGAGGAAGGCGGGTTGAGTGACAGCCTCTCATCCCAGCTCTGCTTTAACCACTGATCAGCTGCCTCCTGCCTCCTAACCTGGAAAGTGCAGGAAGGCTCAGGGTCCCCCCCTTCTCTCCCCCACCAGACACTGCACTTCTGTCATGTTTAAAAGTGCTGTAACTTCATAGTGCTATAAAAAGTGCTCTAAATTACAGCACTGTAAAACATGCATGGAGCATTTCTGTACACACCCCTAATTACCCTTAATAATTTAGCCAATAGATGCTATGGTGATTGGAGCTGTGTACATCTTTAGGGAAGATTGTGAGTCAAATCCAAATTTTGTACTCTGAGTCACTCTCTGAAACCCTAGGTGGGGAAATTGAAATACCTCCCTGTTTCCTGGGAAGCTTGAAGAAGTATCATTGCAGATGAATGTGCAATTGACAATTACTGACAAACTGTTAACAGCATTAGTCTTTCCCAATAAGGAAGCTCTCTTAGGCTATTTGGGATCTTTGACAGTATGTTTAAAACATGTAGTTTGAAAAGGGATCTAGTGGTTTTAGCAGTAGCTACCTGTAATATTGTAGCACAGTGGCATTTTGTAAATAAGGAATTGTGGAAGTTATTAGAAGATAGGGCCTCAAAGCAGGACTTTGCAATTATTGAGATTTTTTCCATATCTGGAAGTTTCCAAAACTGTTCACTAATTCAGTCTTTTAACTGACAGAAATATCAGGACTTGATTTTTAAATCAGACTATCATTGACTGTGCAGTATGTTCTATTTTACACCTCCAGTTTTGATCCTGTCAACCTGTTAGGCCTGCTACAAATCAACACAGCTCTCATAAACTAACTCTTAACAGTTGCTTTATCTTGCCTACTGAATGTGGGAACAGGCAAAAGAAGATGGGGGTGAGGGGGTGGGCATAGAGACACTGCAGGCTGATTGTAATATCTTTCCATGATAGTTCAGTTAGATCAGTGTTACTATTGCTATTCCCTTAGAGTAATTAATAGTATCTCATCAAGGAGCCCTCTGTTTACAATTATGCATAACCCCATGATGTTATCTCACATAAAGTGCTGAATTGTGCTAAAAATGATTGGGCTCAATAAGAAAGCAAACTTGCAAATAGATTGATAGTCCAAGTAGCTAGAGCTGTTTAGAATATTTTAGTAGTAGCTTGCTTTCAGAGTTCTTAAATACAGCCTTGTGCCCTTGATAACTGAGGTATAGGGAGTCTGGTCCTAGCCCTCTCTCAGCCGGATTCTTCACTGCCTTGCATCTTGTGTAGTAATGGACATTTGTGCAAAGTATAAAGCTACTAATCAGCATTGCAGAATTTTACAGCCACTTCACACAGATGTGTGTGCATCTAAACAAGGGGCTGGGCTAGGTAGGGAAGGGCAGAAATGGGTGTAGAGAGCAGAAGACAGAACTTAGTTTTGTGATTTACCACCAAGGTACTGTCTATATGACTAAAAATATAACGCTATAAAACAATCACACTCCTTTAGAGAGCAGTAGGCCTCAAAATCTTGTGGACAAGGCTTGGTTAGTTTTGATACCTGGATCATCTGGACCACTTCTGATTTTTGTAAATACTGGGAGCAGGGTTCAAAATGTGGGGGAGCTTGGGGGAGGGTGAGCCCCCCCATAAGAGACAAGAGCCTCCTCATAAAAGCCCTTGGTGGTAAAAACACCTCTTCCCTTTCTGCACTTCAGCCTGGTTTGCTGTTACTACTATCTGGTCAAGGGACAGGGAGTCCTTTCAAAGGGTAGTAGAGCTATTAATTCTGGGGTTTGGTCCTACAAGAAACCCTGCATCTTCGAATACACCCATGGATTTCCAGGACAGAGTTTATTAAAGGCAGCTAACTTTTAAAAGATAATCATGCTGTGTGTGTGCAGGTGCATATGTGCGGGCACGTACATGACGGTTGTGCATGTATACACAAACATAATGTATGAAATGTGTTATGTTTCATTGGTTACATAGTAGCAAGGTTCATTGTTTATTTATCAGGATTTATTTTATGGGATTTATTTAGCAATGTAGCAGCAGCTAGCTTCTAAGCTAGCCAAGTGAATCATTTCCACCTACACTAACACATGTTGAAATGGTTCCTACTGTGTGTCTACCTATTAGGAATAAACAGAAAATAATTATACTCTTCTGTACTTCTATAAAGGCTCCTTTTATCTGAAGGTCTGAAAGTGGTTTACAAAACACCACTAGCTTAAGCCTCCCAAGTCTCCTGTGATGAGGGGTACGCTATTATATGCATTTATAGATGAGGAAATTGAAATACAGAAAAGTTAATTAACTAGGGTCACGTAGTAGCTCTGCAACAAGATCAGGTATAGAACCCAAAAGCCTTAACTCCCACTCATGTAATGTAACCACTGGATGATGCTGCTGCTAACCACAGTGAGAAATGTGGTTTCTTGTGTTATTTCCAACACAAAAAAATAACATGATGGAGGATTTTTTCCTCTCTGTTGCTTAGCTACCTCAATGACCTTTGGGTATTCCTTCTCATTGGCTGGGTGGATTCATTTCCTTTAAGCTGCCTGGATTTGGACATGTCTCAAATCTCCCCCTCCAGCAGCATTTCATCAGCTGTCCGGCTTACTGTGGGTGTCTTTCCTGTCTCACTGGAAGAAGTTTTGCTATTCTGTTTAATATCTGTCAAACCTTTTGAGTACTGAAAACAATGCAGCAGGTGCTTCCAGATATATCTTCTGTGCACTCTAAAAGACTTAAAGACTTCTCGTTAATCAAGGAAACTGAATTACGAGGGCTGTGTTCCTTTGGAGTTTTCTGTCACCAGGAAATCAAAGGGATTTCCTGCCCAAAGCAGATATGACTAGAGACAGATCTGAACAGATCTAGAATAGAACTTGGCAACTTGAATATACATCTATTTGACATGTGACCCTGTTGCTCTTAGAAACTGCTTACCACTAAAGTGCTGCAGGAGGAGTTCATTTGGTTCAGTGGCTTTTCTGCCTTTGCTTGAATTAAGACATTAGGTTTCAGGACCAGTTTTTTCACTTAGTAGTACAATGGCATATATTACCTCATAGCTTCAGATCCAGTTTGCCTCATTTTCTGAGCCAAAAAGCAGTCAGAAGCTTCTCAGAGGTGCTGTGTACTGTTATCCTGATGTTTCTTACTGGCTAGCTTGAAACAAACAGCTTCCCAAACAGTGCATCAAGAGGTAGGCTCCTCAAAATAGGATCCAAAAGAACCAATTTGCTGAACAGGGAGTGGCTTAAAGTCAGTTTTCTCACGGTGCAAGTGCCTAATGGTAGTCAATAGAGAAATGCTGAAGACAGGGCAAGTCTAAAATCCTAACCCTCAGGCACTTCGCTCAGGACTGGAAAGAGGTGCTTCTATCTACTTTGGATCCATAGAGTAGAGCCCTCTCCTGAAGACTGGTGCTTGGACGTTTTTTGTTGGGGGTTTTTTTAAAGAGCTATGCTTTTCTTCTTAAAATGCAGTCAGAGAAGAGGCACCCTTTTTACATTATACCCTTCACCTTTTGTGTTGAAGTTGTGTGCTATATGAATTGTAAGAGTCATAGGGCCAGAGGTTATTACACACTCCTGATGGTAGGAGACCTGGATTCCAGGCCCCGGTCAAGAAAGGGTTTTGCACATCTTGGTGGAATTTCAAATGTGCTTGTGGTATGTTTTAGTATAAAATACAAGAAAAT